GGCGCAAGAGGAAGAGGGGCGCCCGTCTCCAGAAAACCGCAACATATCAGGAATATCTGCGCTTCACATGGTTTCCTAAAGAAAACCATTAAAAGCATTAGGAATATCTGTGTTTTCACATGGTTTCCTTATGAAAACCATCAAACATATCAAGAATATCTTTGTTTTTATATGGTTTTCTTGCCAACAACTACAAACATATCAAGAATACCTGCGTTTTCATAAAAGTTTCCTTACGAAAGCGATTAAAACTATCAGGCGCGTGTGTGTGTGTGCGCGCGTGCGTGTGTGTGTATGCGTGTATGTGTGTGTGTGCGTGCGTGCGTGTGTGTGTGCGCGTGTGTGTGCGCGTGTGTGTTACAAAGCTTCCTCGCGACAGCGGCCGCAGCATGGGCGGGACTTGTGTTTTCACAAGGTGTCCTTACCAACGCCTCATGGACCCTCTGCGTCTAGCTTTGGGCAGCAGACCTTGCTCAGCCGATCGGGAGACGTGGGCAGCAAACGGTGAAGAAAGGAAGAACAAGTTCACAAAGAATATGAGGGTGACGACGACGTGGCGACAACGTTTTCTGGAAAGTAGCGTTTGTGGTTGCTGCTGCGACTCCCTCGTCTTTGGCATAGTCGGGGCAGCCAGTGTACAATCGATCAGCATTTATAATATCGAGGGGCAGCGTTGGCCGCTGGCTGCCCCCCGCCGAAGCGGCCGCCCGCTCATTCCGACGCATCGGCATTCATTCCGCCGCGCAGGCGCAAATGCAACACTTTTCATTTGGCTGTGCGTTTCCTCTGGTTTTTTCGCCCTGTTTGTTGATCGCGCCGAACTTGCAATCCAGATTGATGCACAAGGATGGCATGTTAAAAACCAACAGCAACAAAAAAGACAAATACGTTAGCGTATGCTTGGCAACGGCTTGAGCACAATACGTTAACTACATGATGAAAGTGAGCGTGAGGACGCTGATGAAATATAGTGTTCGTCATCATCAAAATCGTCATCATTGCAATTGTCATCGTTGCCATCGCCATCATCTTAATCGCAATCGTCATCATAACCATCCCCATCATCATCATCATCATCGTCGTCGTCCTCAGCCTCATCATCGTCATCATAATCATCATCATCATCATCATCATCATCGCACTCGTCATCATCAACTCCAGGAGGATCCAAGAGGCCTCCAAGAAGCTCAAGAGGCGCCCAAGAGGCGCCTAAGAGGCCCCCAGAGGCCCCCAGACTGCCCCTAAGAGGCTTCAAAACTGCTTTCAACAGATCCCCGAGATGCCTCCCACCACATCCCAACGAACATCCAAGAGGCCTCAGGTGCCTTCTCGAACAATCGCCATCGAACATGCTGAGCCTGATGAGGGGAGGAGCGTGAGGGAGCCAGGAGGAGGAAGAGAAAGATGGTCGTTGGGGTGCGCTGGGGGGGGGGGGGGGGGGGGGGGGGGGCGGGGGGGGGGGGGGGGCGAGCATGCATATATATATATATATATATATATATATATGCGATCAAGACGGGCATAGCTGGGATCCGGGGGTCATTAATACGATGGGTAAAATGGGGCTGGCGAGTTTCAGCGCAATGGGGAAGGCCGTTATCAAATAGATCAGCAAAACGACTAAGGGGAAAACATTCACGACCAGAGACATAATAGTACCTAACTTATCCCTAGCAGCGGTTGTTAAAGTCTCCGACAATGAATACCGTGGACCTCGGAGAGGGCAACAGGGCAGCGCGCAACTAGTAGAAGTGTCCTGACATCCGCTTCAGCTGCGTCAGGGGCAACGTGTACACAGGCAATATGGATGCATTCCGCCCGGGAGGCCATTGTAGGTATGCAAATTCTGCCAGGAAAGATTTCGCGACAATGATTGCGTTGAAACTAACGCCGAAACAGTCCTTGACCAGGATCAGAAAACCTCCAGAGCCAGAAGTGGGACAACGCGACCCGTATCCAGAGACACCTTTGATATTCTGCGCAATCCCGTCCAGATCGGCCTGCGCGCCGTGGGATTCCTGAATGCAAACGACGGCGTGGAGAGAGAGAGAGAGAGAGAGAGAGAGAGAGAGAGAGAGCTGACTGCACTTGTTCTGACTGCTACGGTGATCGAACCATGGAGACATAAAGAGAGCTTGCGAATTCCACGCGGCTATTCTGAGAGCGGAAGAGGACGGAAGCAAACTCGCAGAGGTCGGAGAGGGGACAGGCAGAGGGAGCGGGGGGGTAGCCTGGACCCCAATTACAGGCTGCACAGGGGGCAATGCCCCCAGGCTCACGGAAGGCTCGCGATGAACTTTCCTAGCGGCCCTGGGCGTGGATCTGGCTGGTGGCGTCCACGACGATTGCGTCGATCTGCGACGCCTCAATGCCCCACTCATGGAGCTCCTCGTAGTGCGGCTGGAAGTTCTCGACGCCCATGCCACTGTGAATACAGGAAACGAACGGCCAAACCTCGTCGCCATCCATGACCATCGGCTGACCCTTGAATCCGTTGACACCAACCTTAGTCTTCGCACCCCACAACGGCGACCGCGTGAGGAGGTCATTCACAGGTTGGTATCAGTTCGAGAAATTATGCTGGCGGAGCCGAACAGGGAGAGGAATGTCGCCACGACAGCGAAGCGGCGTGACTGTGTTCTTCCGAGAATCTCCCCATGACATCTGACTCTCATTGGCAGCGTGCATGAACTGCGTGGCGACGGCCTCGGAAAGGGAACTGGGTGTCGTAACTCTGGGATGCCCTTTTGAACGTAACGACGGAGTCCTGCAAGAGAGCGGGGAATCGCGTTTTGAGCTGGTTGTGGAGCTCCTCACAAACACGCCCGAAGACGGGACGGGGCCAAATTCCAATGTACGTCTTCTTCGGATTTCGACATGTGCAGCATGATCAGGGGGGCACCAATCGGACCAGGACGAGGACGACGGCCATCCATCGGCACATCGCCAACTGAGGGACTGGCGGTGGATGCAGCACTTGAGCTCGCCTGTTGGAATCTTCGGAGTTCATCGGTATGCTTCAGCTGGCGCTCGAACTGCGCCAGCATGGTGGCGGAGGCTTGATCGATACGGCCCGACATGGATACAAACGGTTCTTCATGATGGCCACTGTGATTCCATATCTGGGTATGGTTGTCCCTCATCTGAGCAACAACCGACGAAGAGAAGTGCTCCATCATGTCATTCATCTGCTTCAACACTGCGGTGTGCGACGGGCGGTCGTTGCCGCGACTACGTTCCGAAGATGGTATATGAGAACGGGCACGCTGAACACCTCGAGACGGCTGATGTCGCGGCCTGCCGGACGAGCTCCTCTGGTTGCGACGGCTTCCACCCATTGCGCCGATGATGAAAGGACGGCGAGAGACAGGTAGGGTATCGGCGGAGATGTGGGAGGAAAACGAATTGCCAGAAAGTCGAGGGCGACCAGCCTGCAGGAGGGGGCGCTGGCCCCCCTCAGCGCGGGTCACTCGAAACCACCTCGAGAAATGGTTTACTGGAGCCAAAACGGCTACAGGAGGAGGAGGAGGAGGAGGAGGAGGAGGAGGAGGAGGAGGAGGAGGAGGAGGAGGAGGAGGAGGGGAGGGGGGAAGAGGGGAAGCACGGAGCCCCTAGGCTTCCGACTCCTTCCTGGAGACCGCTTTTGCGTCGGCCGCTTTCTGATGGCGCCAGGGCTCGTCATCGCCGTCGTCGTCGTCGTCGTCGTCGTCGCCGCCGCTGCCGCCGCCGCCGCCGTTGTCGTCGTCGTTGTCGTCGCCGTCGGCCAGGGAACTATCCAAAGCCGAACTCGGGGCCTGGGGGAGAAAACAAAATCGCCTGCGAGCACGGGCAGTGGCATCCGAGCGCCGAAACAGCCCGCTCAGGGTGCCTCCGAGGGTTTTTTCCCCTTCTCATCCTGACGGCCAGGCACTCTTCAGAGCCGAACTCGGGGCCTGGGGGCGAAAACAGCATCGCCTGCGAGCACGGGCAGGGGCATCCGAGCATCGGTCAAGCGATCCCCCACCCCCACTGGCGTGGGCTGGGCCCCCCACTGGCCGATCTGCCCCCCTGGATGGGGATACATGCTGCTCTCTTCGGGTTTCGAGGGGCATACCCCCCAGCTGAGGTGGTGAGACGGTGGGGCTCGAGATGTGGATGGGGATGGGGATATAGGAATCGGTGAAACGATAGTGAGCATCGGTGCACCGATGCTGGGCCACCGCAGACCCCACAGCCGCGGCTCCGGCTCCTGGAGTCCCACCCGGTCCAGGGAAGCCCCGGGCGGGCGGGCCAGGGCAGGGCCTCTCGGGGCACTCGCCAGCCGAGGCTCCGACGGGGCACCCGCCCCTGGCATCGTGCACGTCTTAGGAGGCAACTACTGGGAGGTCTTCGTCAGAGGGGCTAAGGATGATTCACCCCCGGCGGGGGGCTCTTACGCCAAATGGGGCCTCGGATTGGGCGGAACTAGGCCGGATTCGGCGGGACTTAGCCGGATTGAGCGGGATGCATCCGGATTTCGGACCAGGGCAAACTCAGAACTCGACCTCCCAGGAGTGGCATCCGAACACATCGATGGAGCGGCCGCGCAGATCCGCCAGCCCGACCCTGGCAGCCCCCCGCCGTGAAAAAAAATTCGCCAGAGACGTGCTCTGCACACGTTCGCCCTCGGAGCGCCCACACCAGGCCCTGGGAGCACGAGGAACGGAGCGGCTCAGGGTGAGAAACTGGTCCTGGGGAAGTGGTCCAGACCTCCCGGGAGCCACGCTGCGAAGGAATCGCGACGGAGGATGCCTGGGACTGCCACGGTCCCCGGAATGATGCCCCTTACCGAACAACTTCGGCACGGCCTTCCGCGACGCAAAGCCTGGTACTCATCGGTCGCGACCAGGTCGCTTCAAGATCGGTCGTGACCTGTCTGGAGGGCCGATCGGTCGCTACCGATCGCCACCGAGCAAACGCTGTATCCCGTGATCCGGGGAGGGGAGGGCCCGGGGCCGCCCACTCGGCAGCAGGCTGGCTGCCTCTGTGTAGACCTTCTGCATGAGGATGAGCTCCGGCGCCCGATACCACCTGAGAGAGCACCCGGGACAGGAATCGACTGGGCACACAAATACATACACACAAATAACAGGATTCACCAAGTTTTCCTGTATTTTTGGAGTTTCTGTCTTCCTCCCTACTTCCCGTATTTTCGCATTTTCTTTGGAATCGACGATTAACTGTGTCTGTGTATTTTTTCCCCTCCTGATAGGACCCCGCAGGCTCGGCGGACCCTGAGATCCTGGCGTCACAAGTTCGCCACCGCGGGAGATGTTGCCCTGCTTCAGGCCCTGGGGCACTCACAAGTCGATGCGGCTCGAGAGATGCCGCTGAAAGATCGTGCCCAGGGCTCCAGCAGAATTGTTCTACGGCGTTGCAACGTTTTGGTAACGTCGGATCTCAGGGGATGATGAAGATAAGAGGGTTGTAAGGGTGATAAGGATGAGACCAAGGACCAAGGAGGGGAGGGGGTTGGGGACGGCGGCGCTGTGCTGAACACACACACACACAAGCAAAAGCGACGCCTGCTGCGGGATCCTGTCTGATCTTGCCTTTTGGCCACTGGCGGCAAAAATGGTGCGGTTTGTGCTCTCTTCGGCGCCACCGATCGGCTTCAATACTGATTTGAAACTGCTCCTCTATGTGCACAACTCTGGACCTTTGGTGGAATCACGCCTTAACTCTGGCTCAGCGATGGGCTCGAGGGCGCCATCACGACTCAGCTATGCCGCTGTCGCCAGTGTTCAAAACTACCTTAAGCAACAATGCTTCGGAGATTCCAATTGAGCCTCGGAACTCGCAATTGATCCAGACTTGCAGCCTTCTGAAGCCTAATTGCCAATTCTACTAGCACGTGTCCCCATTGTCGACCACCTGCAATCACACCAACATGGTCGCCCAAATGGCGGGCCGCATGCAGCTGGACCCTACCATTAACTAACCGAAGCAATCACGGGCTGTGTGTACAGTTCACTTGGGGTATTCATGCCGAGCGCACGTGTATTCAGTCTCTCTCCGTCCACCTGAATCGGAATGTAGAGGGCTTTCGCTGTTCCTGCTTTGCGACGCCATGCATCTCGTACTGGCGTGGCCGACATCAATGGCTAACCAAACCGTCTCTTATAGTTCTATGGTCTACGGCACTGGCGTAGACCGCAAATCTTTCAGAATCGCTGGCGACCGCCCTTTTCACGGGGCAGATACCATCACTAGCGTTTCGAATTCTGGCGGAGTCAGTGGGAAACCGCGGTGAAACGTATGCTGGGTCCTGCGGTATGCGGCGGAATGCCTGCCCCTACCCGTCGACACGCACAAAGCCTGCATACGCAACCCTTCAGAAAACCTTGCCGCACGGCACGGCGTGGGCCTTGCACATTGTGAAACGAATTGCCGCTCGAAGATTCATGTTTCCAGATCTCCATGAACATACAAGAATACACACCGATCTGGAACGATCGTTTGCCGATCTGGAACGATGTAGGTGCACCTATTGGGGATCATACCTGTCGTAGGAGCCTCGATGTGTTTGGCTGATCTTGGTGTAAGCCATGACTCTAACTTTACCCTGTGGGAAAAACTCGTACTAGCAAAAATGGCATTGATCGTTTGACACTCGGACGTTGGGTGCACATTCTTGCTACTGGGTCGTGCTTTCTCTTCCGCCGGATGCGTGCCTTTGAAGATGCTCTTATAATTACCACTGCTTATTGGTCTAAAGTTTCAACCTGGACCACTTGCAATCCAACCTGGGCATCTCGTCCAAAAAAAAACTCCGAAAACATTGAGCCGCAGACAGTCGTTTGAGACTCCCCACGGACGCCGCAAGCGGGTTGCAAAGACGCCGCGCACGAGTGCCACAGGCAAATTGAATCAGGACGGAAACCAAAACACACACACACACACACACGCACGCATGTTTGCTTCCCGGTCGGCTGGTCCAACTCTACACGCAGACTAGCAGGATGAGGGCAGTTACCATCAGGCATTGTTGATGGAGAGCAGCATCCAGAGAGCTGCAGATGCAGAGAAGGGTGCCAGGCACGGCGGCACGCAGTGCACACGCACACGCAGGAGCCAACAGAAATCACGCACGCACGCACACGCACGCACGCACGCACAGCACGGCACGGCACAACACCTTACGGCACGGACACACACACACACACACACACACACACGCACACACACACAGAAACACACACACGCACGCACGCACGCACGCACGCACGCACGCACGCACGCACGCACGCACGCATCCTCCTCATCGCGGTTTGGCGACAGCATCGCCCCGCAAGACGGCCCAGAGAGGCTCCATCAGGGTCCAAAGAAGGCAGCACGAGCCGGCAGGGACGGCGCCGAGATCGATCCGTAGGAGCAAGCAGTGCTGCACAGGACGTCGCTCCTCGTGCTGCCTGGACTGGTTCGGTACTGAAGGGGCCTAGGGACACACAAATGACTACACACAAATCCCAGGATTCCGCATACCTTCCAATATTTTTTGTTAGCGTCTTCCCCCCACTTCCCATATTTTATTTTTCCCTGGGAGTCGACGTTTCATTGTGTCTGTGCGTTTTTATCCCCTCCTGATTAGTTCGGTATGGGAGTGTACTTGCGCAGCTGTGTCTCAAAGATGTCTGGGCATGTGCACCACAAACAGAACAGCCTAGCCCAAGGCGGTGACTCCAGCGTGGACCGCACACTGGGCACTCTCGATCAAACTGCCCATTGCTCCCAACAGCTTCGACTGGAACGAGCCGCCCCAAGAGCACAAACACATTTTGGCGTCGCGGCCCTACACGCAGCGAGGAGGCGGATAAGCTCTAAAAGCAAAAACGCACGCAAAAACTAAGAGCGCCCGAGCCCTCATATACCGCTTTGATATCTCGCAGCCGCCATCAGCCACGAACCATACGGCGCGGATGGCAATCCAAGAAGACGAACACCAGACTCCAAGACACTCCCCAGAGACCCCTCAACGGCCGTCGCCGGATTGCCCAGTGGACCCTCCCAGCCCCCCATGGGGACAATCTGGACAGCCGAAGGGCCTCACCAAACACCGCCACGAGACCTCCCCAGACGGACCGGCGACCCCGTAAGTGACTACCTACCAGACCACCCCAACCCAACCCGAAGACCCCAATTTCGAGTGGGGGGGGGGTACGGGTTCCATATGTGTTTTTTCAATGTCCCCCGACCCCCCCCAACTGGAAATGGAGGGCAAATTGAGGCCTTCGGGTTGGGTTGGGGTGGTTTGGTGGGTGGTGAGTAAAAAGGGGGGGTCCTCACGAACGGCCCCCCCTTGAGGCCTCCAGGGCAGTCGTCGTGCTGCCGTGAGGGTGCAGAGGAAGGGGCGGAGGGGCCTGTCTCGCCACGGCGAGCCCCACCCACACGAACAAGGCCCCCGGTGTCGCTCCGAGGAGCCGCACGGGCACCAGCTGGCCATCGCTCGGACGTCCGTTCCCTGTGCTTTCTTCGGCTTCGTGCGTGGCTTTTTCGTCCAATGATCAAGGATGCTCCTCGAGATGGTCCTCGCCGATGGAGAAAAACGCACACGTCCGAGCGATGCCAAGCCAGAGGCCCCCCCCCCTGAGCACAGAGCTGCTGTCGTCTCGCCGTCTCGGCCGCATGCCTCCGGGAGGGCCTCCGAGGGCCGCCCCAGGAGGCTCCCAGCGTCGCCCCACTCTGCGCCCCCCCCCCCAGCCTGCGGCGCCCGCGTCTGCCTCGTGGCGGGTGCGAGCGCCTCCGCTCGTGCCACCACGCGCTGCGCGGGGTGCGCGAACGCTCGTGCGCGTGCGTGTCGGCCTCTTGCACGGCTCGCTGCTTCCCTTCGAGCGTTTCGCCCCAGGGCTCGTAAAACTAGAAGAAAGCACGGCAGAGCCCCACAAAGGACAGCTGGGAGCCCTGGGACGCCTGGTCCGGCAGACGTTTCGGACGGGGCGTCCACAATGGATGCAGGAATGCTGTTCTTGCCTCAATTGTGGCTGTCCTGGCTACAACTTTGGTCAAGACGGCCGCGATGCCTTTGACAAATACGCTCAGGAGCACAACGCCGTGCTCTCATGCCTGTCCCCGCTGTGCAGTTCCTTTCTCAAGGCTTCCTGGTCGGCCCTTCGTGCTGCCAGAACTCCATTCCAACGTCTCATTCTTACACATAACATGCACACCACCGCACTGCTGTCTGCGCGTTGCTAGAACGAGACTCCCGCGCACGATTCTCACACGTAACAACACACTACCGCACTTATGGTTCTTCGTGTTGCCAGAACTCGACTACCACGTACGTGCCTGACACACAAGTGAACACCCTACCGCAGTTCGTGCGCTTCCTAAGAATATCCAGGAAGGAATACTTAGGAGTGCACGTTTTCACCAACCGACCTCCAGGTCCCCGACCCCAATCTTCACCTTTGCTATATTAGGGTGCTTGGCTGGGGTGATGTGCTGTACGCCCCGCTCCCAAGACACCACGGGCGACTCGGATCGCACCCCTTACAGAGCTGTGCAATTCGGCACGAGCGTCCCGAAGGCATGTAATTCACGCTGGCGGCTAGGGAAAAGTGGGCCTCAAGTGCGTGCGTGCGTGCGTGCGTGCGTGCGTGCGTGCGTGCGTGCGTGCGTGCGTGCGTGCGTGCGTGCGTGCGTGCGTGCGTGCGTGCGTGTGTGTGTGTGTGTGTGTGTGTGTGTGTGTGTGTGTGTGTGTGTGTGTGTGTGCGTGCGTGCGTGCGTGCGTGCGTGCGTTCGTGCGTGCGTGCGTGCGTGCGTGCGTGCGTGCGTGCGTGTGTGTGTGTGTGTGTGTGTGTGTGTGTGTGCGTGGGCTTGTGTGTGTGTGTGCGTGTGTGTGTGAGTGTGTGTGTGTGCTTGTGTGTGTGCGTGCGTGCGCGTGCGTGCGCGCGCGTGCGTCTGTGTGTGTGTGTCTGCCTGCGTGCTCATGTTTCCCGAGAAGCCGTGTGTCCTGCGCGCCCGTGCACCCGGCACCAGGCGCGGGAGAGGCGGCATACGCACG